TCGTCGGATAGTAAATTTTCCTGGCTTTCCGAATATTTATGTTAGGTCCTTCGACTCCTTCCGGAACACTGCCGGAAAAATCAAAAACCACGCGCGCGCTTACGTTTCACGTCTTACCGGCATTAGTCACCTGGCACTTTCGTGCACTAAGTACGGTTACTTAAAAAGCCAGGGAGCTCTTGAAATTTATCTCGTCGGATAGTAAATTTTCCTGGCTTTCCGAATATCTATGTTAGGTCCTTCGACTCCTTCCGGAACACTGCCGGAAAAATCAAAAACCACGCGCGCGCTTACGTTTCACGTCTTACCGGCATTAGTCACCTGGCACTTTCGTGCACTAAGTACGGTTACTTAAAAAGCCAGGGAGCTCTTGAAATTTATCTCGTCGGATAGTAAATTTTCCTGGCTTTCCGAATATCTATGTTAGGTCCTTCGACTCCTTCCGGAACACTGCCTGAAAAATCAAAAACCACGGGATTGTATACGTTTCGCGTCATACCGGCATTAGTCACCTGGCACTTTCGTGCACTAAGTACGGTTACTTAAAAAGCCAGGGAGCTCTTGAAATTTATCTCGTCTAATAGTAAATTTTCCTGGCTTTCCGAATATTTATGTTAGGTCCTTCGACTCCATCCGGAACACTGCCGGAAAAATCAAAAACCACGCGCGCGTTTACGTTTCACGTCATACCGGCATTAGTCACCTGGCACTTTCGTGCACTAAGTACGGTTACCCCCAAAGCCCGGGAGCTCTTGAAATTTATCTCGTCGGATAGTAAATTTTCCTGGCTTTTCGAATATCTATGTTAGGTCCTTCGACTCCTTCCGGAACACTGCTGCAAAAATCAAAAACCACGCGCCCTTATACGTTTCACGTCATACCGGCATTAGTCACCTGGCACTTTCGTGCACTAAGTACGGTTACCCCCAAAGCCCGGGAGCTCTTGAAATTTATCTCGTCGGATAGTAAATTTTCCTGGCTTTCCGAATATCTATGTTAGGTCCTTCGACTCCTTCCGGAACACTGCCGGAAAAATCAAAAACCACGCGCGCGCTTACGTTTCACGTCTTACCGGCATTAGTCACCTGGCACTTTCGTGCACTAAGTACGGTTACTTAAAAAGCCAGGGAGCTCTTGAAATTTATCTCGTCGGATAGTAAATTTTCCTGGCTTTCCGAATATCTATGTTAGGTCCTTCGACTCCTTCCGGAACACTGCCGGAAAAATCAAAAACCACGCGCGCGCTTACGTTTCACGTCTTACCGGCATTAGTCACCTGGCACTTTCGTGCACTAAGTACGGTTACTTAAAAAGCCAGGGAGCTCTTGAAATTTATCTCGTCGGATAGTAAATTTTCCTGGCTTTCCGAATATCTATGTTAGGTCCTTCGACTCCTTCCGGAACACTGCCGGAAAAATCAAAAACCACGCGCGCGCTTACGTTTCACGTCTTACCGGCATTAGTCACCTGGCACTTTCGTGCACTAAGTACGGTTACTTAAAAAGCCAGGGAGCTCTTGAAATTTATCTCGTCGGATAGTAAATTTTCCTGGCTTTCCGAATATCTATGTTAGGTCCTTCGACTCCTTCCGGAACACTGCCTGAAAAATCAAAAACCACGGGATTGTATACGTTTCGCGTCATACCGGCATTAGTCACCTGGCACTTTCGTGCACTAAGTACGGTTACTTAAAAAGCCAGGGAGCTCTTGAAATTTATCTCGTCTAATAGTAAATTTTCCTGGCTTTCCGAATATTTATGTTAGGTCCTTCGACTCCTTCCGGAACACTGCCGGAAAAATCAAAAACCACGCGCGCGTTTACGTTTCACGTCATACCGGCATTAGTCACCTGGCACTTTCGTGCACTAAGTACGGTTACCCCCAAAGCCCGGGAGCTCTTGAAATTTATCTCGTCGGATAGTAAATTTTCCTGGCTTTTCGAATATCTATGTTAGGTCCTTCGACTCCTTCCGGAACACTGCTGCAAAAATCAAAAACCACGCGCCCTTATACGTTTCACGTCATACCGGCATTAGTCACCTGGCACTTTCGTGCACTAAGTACGGTTACCCCCAAAGCCCGGGAGCTCTTGAAATTTATCTCGTCGGATAGTAAATTTTCCTGGCTTTCCGAATATTTATGTTAGGTCCTTCGACTCCTTCCGGAACACTGCCGGAAAAATCAAAAACCACGCGCGCGCTTACGTTTCACGTCTTACCGGCATTAGTCACCTGGCACTTTCGTGCACTAAGTACGGTTACTTAAAAAGCCAGGGAGCTCTTGAAATTTATCTCGTCGGATAGTAAATTTTCCTGGCTTTCCGAATATCTATGTTAGGTCCTTCGACTCCTTCCGGAACACTGCCTGAAAAATCAAAAACCACGGGATTGTATACGTTTCGCGTCATACCGGCATTAGTCACCTGGCACTTTCGTGCACTAAGTACGGTTACTTAAAAAGCCAGGGAGCTCTTGAAATTTATCTCGTCTAATAGTAAATTTTCCTGGCTTTCCGAATATTTATGTTAGGTCCTTCGACTCCTTCCGGAACACTGCCGGAAAAATCAAAAACCACGCGCGCGTTTACGTTTCACGTCATACCGGCATTAGTCACCTGGCACTTTCGTGCACTAAGTACGGTTACCCCCAAAGCCCGGGAGCTCTTGAAATTTATCTCGTCGGATAGTAAATTTTCCTGGCTTTTCGAATATCTATGTTAGGTCCTTCGACTCCTTCCGGAACACTGCTGCAAAAATCAAAAACCACGCGCCCTTATACGTTTCACGTCATACCGGCATTAGTCACCTGGCACTTTCGTGCACTAAGTACGGTTACTTAAAAAGCCAGGGAGCTCTTGAAATTTATCTCGTCGGATAGTAAATTTTCCTGGCTTTCCGAATATTTATGTTAGGTCCTTCGAATCCCTCCGGAACACTGCCGGAAAAATCAAAAACCACGCGCGCGTTTACGTTTCGCGCCCTACAGGCATTGTTCACCAGACGCGCGTATACGTTTCACGTCATACCGGCATTAGTCACCTGGCACTTTCGTGCACTAAGTACGGTTACTTAAAAAGCCAGGGAGCTCTTGAAATTTATCTCGTCGGATAGTAAATTTTCCTGGCTTTTCGAATATCTATGTTAGGTCCTTCGACTCCTTCCGGAACACTGCTGCAAAAATCAAAAACCACGCGCCCTTATACGTTTCACGTCATACCGGCATTAGTCACCTGGCACTTTCGTGCACTAAGTACGGTTACCCCCAAAGCCCGGGAGCTCTTGAAATTTATCTCGTCGGATAGTAAATTTTCCTGGCTTTCCGAATATCTATGTTAGGTCCTTCGACTCCTTCCGGAACACTGCCGGAAAAATCAAAAACCACGCGCGCGCTTACGTTTCACGTCTTACCGGCATTAGTCACCTGGCACTTTCGTGCACTAAGTACGGTTACTTAAAAAGCCAGGGAGCTCTTGAAATTTATCTCGTCGGATAGTAAATTTTCCTGGCTTTCCGAATATTTATGTTAGGTCCTTCGACTCCCTCCGGAACACTGCCGGAAAAATCAAAAACCACGCGCGCGTTTACGTTTCGCGCCCTACAGGCATTGTTCACCAGACGCGCGTATACGTTTCACGTCATACCGGCATTAGTCACCTGGCACTTTCGTGCACTAAGTACGGTTACTTAAAAAGCCAGGGAGCTCTTGAAATTTATCTCGTCGGATAGTAAATTTTCCTGGCTTTCCGAATATCTATGTTAGGTCCTTCGACTCCTTCCGGAACACTGCCGGAAAAATCAAAAACCACGGGATTGTATACGTTTCACGTCTTACCGGCATTAGTCACACGGCACTTTCGTGCACTAAGTACGGTTACTTAAAAAGCCAGGGAGCTCTTGAAATTTATCTCATCGGATAGTAAATTTTCCTGGCTTTCCGAATATCTATGTTAGGTCCTTCGACTCCTTCCGTAACACTGCCGGAAAAATCAAAAAAAATCAAATACATAGAGTTTTGCCTATTTTTCGTTTGCATAGACACTACCATTCAGTATGTGGATAGATAAACGGAATATTACATAATTAATTTAAATAAAAACAATTAACATAACGTAAACTTACCTGTTTCCGTAGAATGTGATCTCTAACAAATGACATCGTTAAACAGTTTACACTTTTAATTAGTTAATGTAAACTGCAAAAGTACAATGTTCATTTGTTAGAACATGTCTTTGAAATTAGGGCAATTTATAACCTAACTTTAAATTAATATTGATTTGTATAATTCGGCATAGTTATGGTTTCGGTATAATTATCGTGGTAATGACGCCAATAGAATTTATTATTTATATATATACTTTTAAAATAAATAGTTATTAAATGACATAGGGCGACATCTACTTTATAATTTCGATGCAATAGTTAGGCACCCTTGAAATTTAAAGAATGCAACCCAACGTGCAAGGTTTCTTATCACTAGCCGCCCGAATAAAATAGTCACCTAGCTTTGGTCACCCAACTTCACACACGTAAATATATAACATTTATAAAACTAAAACTATATAATAACTAAAAAATATTTTCATTAAACATTTTTATAGTTATTTCATATTTCCTTGTTTTTAATTTTGTTTGAACAATATTTTTAGGGCTTAGAAAAGACATATCAAACGCTCCATACCACCGTTTGGGTCAACACGACAGTTGTGCTTCATACTTTTGTACGGGGCCAAAAGTTGGTAAAATAAATTTTGTTCCTGAGGCAGAAAAATCGGGTTTTATGGCTGAATTCCGAAACATAGTGTATAGGCTGCAAATAAACTCTGATAGCTTGTTAGAGGATGTCGATAACAACCCATGTGAGCAGTTTAATTCCCTTATTAATAAGCATATCGGAGGCAAGCGAATTAATTTTACACAATCTAATAATTATCAAACACGGGTCCATGCTGCTATTATTGCACATAATTCAGGAAACTACATACGAACTATAAACAAGAAAATTATGCTAAAGAGCCCCGGTAAATTATTTAAAAGTATTTATTTATACATAAGTACCTGTACATTGTAATAATAAAATATACTTATAATAGGAAAATTTGCTAAAAAATATTCAAATAATATAGACCGGATACGAAGTAACACAACAATGAGACGACGAAAACTTTTCGCTGCGGGAGTGGTACGATCCAAACCGAAAACAAAATCTAGTGCGCCGGACAAAGACTATGGCTTAGCAGAGCCTTTGGATGACCTCTTTAGTCTCAGCCCAGAAGCTTTTGCTGAAAAAAAACCGCGTTTTTAAAAAAACTGAATGATGTCGACATAGACGAAGTTGAACAAATAACTAGAGGCCAAAGTCAATGCGATGCATGGAGAAACGAGCGTCGAAAAAGATTAACAGCATCTAAGTTTGGAGAAATATGTAAAATGAGAGAGAACACTAGCTGTAAAATCAAAGTCCATAACATTTTATATAAGTATCCGACAATGTGTAAATCAATGAGCTATGGTATTGAAATGGAGCCTCATGCTAGGAGACAGTTTGAAGAATTGAATGGGTTGACCGTACGTACTTGTGGTTTGTTTATTGACCGAGAATTCCCTTATTTGGCTGCAAGCCCTGGTAAAACTAAAAATTATTTATTTTTATTCATAATACTATTTTTAACTTTAAATATTATATTGGATTGTTCAAGATGGGTTAATAGGTGATGATGAAATACTAGAAATTAAGTGTCCATTTGTAGCAAAGAATACGAAGAGTGCCATTGAAGCAGTGGAAAATAAATTGGTAAATTTCTTATTATTATGTATAAAATAATACATTCTTTATACTTTGTTTAAAATCGAATAAGTTTAAATATTTTATGGAAAAATATGTACAATTTTATTAATTAATACATAGTCTATAATCGCAATGATGTTTTTAAATTTCATAAAATTGTATTTTTAAGCTATCATATTGCACCATCAACGAACAAGGCAATATTTTACTTAAAAAAGACCATATATACTTTTACCAAGTGATGGGTCAATTACGGGTCACAAGAAGAAATGTATGCTATTTTGTCATACACACGCCCAATTGGACTAATGTTGAAAAAATCTATTTTGATGTATCTTTTTGGCAGAAAAAAATGGTCGATAAACTAAAATTGTAAGTGATTTAAACAATAAATGTTTAAATTTAAATATATATATATATATATATTACATTTTATACATATAATAGGTAATATAATATATTATTATATTTTTTTTTATATTGAGTGTTTATTACCCGAGATCATAGACCCTCTATATGGAAAGCGAATAAGTATCTCTGATATAAGAGAACCAAAACATATTTTAAATGCAAAAAAAAAAACCAGCAATTGAAACAAAATTGTTTTAATTTATAATACCTTTTTTTTTTTTTAAATAAAAAATAATATGTTTCTGTTCAAAAAGAATTGACACACGCAATAAGTAATATTGTAGCTTTTTATATATCTAATTATATTTGAATAAGTAATAATTCAATAACTACAAATCAAGCTATGTTGTATTACCGTATTTACTATATATATATTGCTACATATATTTAGGTAAGCAGCAGCTTTTAAAAAAAAAAGTTCGAATGGATACGCACGGATATTAAAAATAATACCGCGGAGTTTGAAACTCGGACGTTGAAATTTATATTGACGCGATCCGTCGTGGTCGACTGTTCAAGAAATAATAATCGGCGCTCCCGAAACGGCCAGACGCGCTGAATGAGCAGTGCCACAGACTATGAGTAGTGGGCGTGACTTCAACGCCGCGCGCTTGCGGATCGCCAAAACACTTAACAGCGCGTTCTCTCGGCTGTTGTATACGTTTCGCTTTACGTGTAGCGTCCTCTTAAGTGTCCATCATAATCCTCAATTATGTGACCAGGAAACTAAGAGATTAAGATTAAAAATTAGAAAAATGCAAAAGTTAATAAACAAAAAGAATACTAGAATACAGTCATTAAAAAAAAAGAATCTTAACAAATTACAAATGAATAAAAATTTATTTCAAACTACAGTGAACAATAATTTTATTTTAAAAAACCAGTTAAAACTAGCTAATATAAACAAATATGGTCTTAGATATAAGGAAAATCAAAAATCATTTGCACTTGCATTATATTATAATTCCCCTAAGGCATTTAATTTCATGCGCAAGTATTTATGTCTTCCAACACTGAGATCACTTAGAAATTGGCTACAATCAATAGATGTTTCTTGTGGGGTAAACTCAAATGTTCTTGATGTTTTAAAAATAAAGTTTAAGGATGTTCCACCGAGTGAAAAGCTAATATCAATTATAATGGATGAGATGTCACTAAAAAAATTGATTTCTTATAACTCTCAAAATGATCAATTTAGTGGTTATGAAGACTTTGGTCCAGATCATGAGTTTGTTGATATGACAATGAATCGCATCTGTGACCAAGTATTAGTTGTTATGATTAAAGGTATAGTTAAACCTTGGAAACAAATACTTGGATATTTATTTTCTAAAGGACCAGTATCTGGCTTTAGACTTAAAAACATTATGACTGATGTTATCAATAAGGTTAAATATGCTGGTTTTATTCCAAATGTGACCAAGGTACCAATAATATTGGTATGAGAAATTTATTTGGAGCCACACAAGCACAACCATTCATCAACTTCAATGATGAAAAAATTTATTTCTTTCATGACAGTCCACATTTAATTAAATCAGTGAGAAATAATCTGAAAAAATACAATTTTAGTTATGACAATGATTTTTGTAGTTTATCAGATTTAGAAGATTTTTATAATTTAGACAAAAATAAAAAGCCAAGGTTAGCTCCTCGATTAAATAAAATTCACATGGATCTACCACCATTCTCACCAATGCGTGTTTGTTTAGCAACCCAAACATTAAGCCTTTCTGTTAGTTCTGGTATGATGACTTTAATTTCACTGAATGAAATGAAAAGTTCAGCTATACATACAGCAAGATTTATAGAATTCTTTGATAATTTATTTGATGTTTTTAACAGTACAACACATAGTGAGGCAAAAACATTAAGAAAGCCATTAACTAAAACTTCTGATCATTGGAAATTTTTGAATGAAGCAGAACAGGTATTAGGAAAACTTAAAGTTCACAATAGAACTGGTAAATAACCACCGTGTATAGTAGGTTGGAAAGAAAATATTATTGCCTTGAAATTGTTATTTAACGAACTAGATGAAAAATACAAAATAGATTTCTTATTAACAAGAAGACTAACACAAGACAGTGTAGCAAATGTGTTCTCAGTAGTAAGGTCAAAAGGAGGTATTAATGTCACACCTGATGCCACAAAATTTCATTCAGCAATCCGTATGTGTATGTGCAATACTTTGTTAGTACCCTCCCTCCAAAAGTGGAAATTGTGAATCTGAATGTGATGCAGTTCAGTTCTTGACTAAATGCAGTGAGCTAAAAAAAATTAAAATACAGCTAAAAGTAATAGGTGATCCAAATGATGATGAATATTCTGATAAAGAAGATTTTCTTAACTTACATTTATCTTCAATGAATATTGAAAATATACTAATGGAGAATCATGAGGCTTGTGCGATAGGCTATGTAGCTGGATGGGTGTGTAGCAAACTGATTCATCAAGAATGTGTAGATAAGCTAGCTGCCAAAAGTGAGGATAATTCTCAAGTCAACCTAGAAAATACAAACATAGAAATGAAATCATATCAAAATGCCAATTTATTATATCCATTTAAAAACACACTGGAATTTGCAAAAAAAGTTACGTGTATATTTAATTTAAATATAGAGTCACTTTTGTTAAAACATAAAACCGGTGTTCGAAAAGAAATTATAAAAATTGTTGATATTGTTTGTAAGCCATGTATGTGATGCATGTAAGACCGAATTCTTGAAAAAATTGTTAAATGTATTAATAAATAGTTTCATAAAAATTAGCAATAACAACATTGATGTCTTCAAAATGCATTAAAAAAATAAAAAATTACAAAAAATTGTCTTAGACAATTAATTACATAATGACTAATAATTGGGAGAATTAAATAACACTAGGTGCGCTGTTATCGCTTCGAAAATGGCCGCGAAAGCAGGATAAAATTATTATCAACACCGCAAGTACATCTAATTTCTAAATAACATTTATAATTTATAAAGCACTATTTTCAAAAACGAATGTGAATGTGTGCACTTTACAAAATGCGAATCAGTTTAAACGATATTTTTATGTACGCCAAGTGTACTAGCAGTTCAAGAAATTTGATAGAAGGTGAACAAGTCATCAATTCCAACCATATTGTGTTGTGTGGTAAAATTCAAATTGAAAATGTAAATTCCAAATACTTTTAACTTAATGTGAACAGTGTGATATCTTGTTTTCTTAAAATAAAATATTTTCTCTTCTGTTTAGAACGCTAACACTACAACTATAAAAAGTTTAGTTATTCAATCTTCAAATTTATCTGAAAAGCCTCTAGAGATAACTGGTCAACTGTTAATGAAAGGAAATTTGAGTGAAATTATTGATTTTGTATGTACATGTAAGGCTGGTGCTTCTGAATGCTGCAAACATGTAGTTGCAGTACTTTTACATCTTAACAGGTAAATTAAACATGGTGTATTATTAGTTTTAAACACCACTTATTGCCTACTAAATAATGTTAATTGATCATAATAAGTAATTACAAAAAACCAAATTGTTATTATATAAATACCACATACTTTCTTATGTAAGAAATACATTTTCTAATTACCTTGGTATCACTATATAATCACTCTCATTAAAACTTACACTTTTGGCCATCGTTCTTATTTCATTTTTGCATAATGTTTTCATATGGTTATAATAATGCCATAGCCCATCACTCGAATTTATTGATACACACGCAAACATGGTTTTCAAACATTCCCGCCTTCGACAGAATACCGCCAAAGCCTTATCACCAACCGTTTATCGTCGGTCCGCTCGCTATCAGCGAATACAGTTACTGTTGGCGCGACTTTTAACAAACGTTTACATAATACGGGAGACATTGGTTCTAACACCATGTTGGTGCGTGGAAACAAAACCACAACCAGCTGACCGAGTTCCGTTTCCATATCGTTGCGCCTTCGGCAATGCAACGCTGAAATTCTTGATGGAAATACAGTATGTTATTATTTCAGGACACCTTCATTTATTCGTAAGTGATTACGGGCCTTATTAGTAATTTTTGGGCACGGTAAAAATACTATTTTCATTTTCGACCCGGCTTCGGAGTGGTGGATCTTTTATCTGACGTTTAGTCGGATTGCTTACGCATTTAACGATGTTATCATCAATCAAGGTGGTGACTGACTTGCTAGACACTCAACAGATAACGGCGGCACGATTCCCTCGAACCGGCCGTCACACATCGTCAAGTTGTCTAAACGGGTGACTACGACCAACATCAAGTCGATCGACACCGCGGAAAACGCCGCCGTCGTGCTTCGTGTCGCTTTTACTATAACATACAGGCTTCAATACAGCCCCCCCCCCCAAATGATTTTAATTTTTTTTCACGTAATTTCTTCTTTATTTTTGCGTTTTCGGTAACAGTAATGAACGTGCCCCCGCCTTCGCACATTGTCCGCTATCCGACGGGGTCGGATTGACTACCGGATAACATAGATGACTGACCTGCTAGACACCCAAAAAAAGGCGGTGGCTATATGATATGCATGGACGCCCGAAATATTTCTTCTTTATTTTTGCGTTTTCGGTAACAGTAATGAACGTGATGACGTTCATCAGCCGTCGCACATTATCCGCTATCCGACGAAGTCGGATTGCCTACCAGGGTGACTACGACCTACGTAGAGGAAGGTGACTGACCTGCTAGACTCCAAAACATATTTTCACGTAAATTATACACCCAATCCTCGAACCGGCCGTCACACGTCGTCACGTTGTCTACCAGGTGACTACGTCCAACATCGAGTCGGATTGCCTACCCGGATAACATAGATGGGTGACCTGCTAGACACCAAATAAAAAGACGGTGGCAGTATGATTTGGATAGACGACGGAATTATTTTGAATTTATGCCCCAGCCGTCGAATATTGTCGGATTGCCTTCCAGGGTGACTACGACCAAAGTCGAGGAACGTGACTGACCTGATAGACCCCAAATACTATTACTAAGGCGAAGATATGGCTAGACACCCACAAAAATTTAACGACTGTATTATTTTTTTACGAAATTTCAAATTTCCGGCGGCGTTGTCGAAAAGACTCTGTCAAAGACTTTGTCCGCTACTCGACGACCCGGCCGTCCGGATGGCCTGCCCGAGCCACCAAGTCGAACCGCAGTGGTCCTAGGCACTCCTAGCCTTATCATACATCCCTATCACCCTACCTCCTCAGCACCCATACACCTTGTCGGCCGAGACCCATTAAAGCACCACGAGACCACCGCTGCTTCCGTAATCGAAAACACTAATGACCAACTCTCGGGGGTCTGGGGGTGTCCCCCAGCGACGCTCGGAGAGCTAGTCAAACTATATAAAACGTGAAAATTAGTGGCGCGGCCTATGTATTAAATTTGTACTGACTTAGACGAACCGCCAATGGGAACGCTTCCTCGCGACGAGAGCCGCCGTCGCGCGCGTTTTTCGCCGTGTTTTTCGAAATATCGAGTTTTACCCCCCTCGGGGGCCCCGTTCGCGTTATATTCGCGCTCCTCGCTATATTTGTAGCCGGCGCGCTATCCTACTTTTTCAAAAATGAGTCCCCTCATCCGACTAGACAGTCGCCGACGCCGCGGCGTCGTCACGATTTCGACGGTTTTTTCCGACTTTTTCCAACTGAGTCGCGTTTCGCTTCGTTTGTAGACTTTTCACCTCCCCGCCGAAGACGTATTCGAGTTCCCCGCTAAATTTATAGCCAGCCCGCAGTCCTACTTTTTCAAAAACGAGTCCCGGGGAGGAGCGGCGACGCGCAAACGAGAGTAGGTACCGAGTGGGTACGTCGTGTGTGTGCTATATACAGGCATAAATACATGCGTCTCGACGTCCGATTTTTCGCGAATCCCACCGAATCTCGAATTTTACCCCCCTCGGGGGGCTCGGGTCTCCCCGTTTGCGTCTTATTCGCGTTTCTCGCTAAATTTTTAGTCGGCGTTTCTTCGGCGTTTAGGAGTTTCTAGTCGTAAGTCACGCGATTCAAGTCGATCATACGACACAGCCAGCCAGGTAGGCAATCCGACTACGTCGGATCGCAGACCATGCACCGGTCGGGTATGTCCGGTTCTGGTGTGTGTGTGTTGAAATCGGAAATTCGGATTCTGGGTTTGAGTGTCTAGCTATCAGTCATCTCGGGTAAAAGTCGATTCCCGAGTGTCGGATGCAGTGGGGGACACTGGGGGTGTAAGTCGCTCGTATGCAAGTAGCTAGTCAGGTAGGAAATCCGACTACGTCGGATCGCAGACCATGCACCGGGTGTGTATGTCCGGTTCTCGTATGTAATTTTTGAACTCTGAAGAGTGTCTAGTCGTAAGTCTCGCGATTCAAGTCGGTCATACGACACAGCCAGCCAGGTAGGCAATCCGACTACGTCGGATCGCAGACCATGCACCGGTCGGGTATGTCCGGTT